TCATATATAGAGAAAGGAGATAGTTACCGTTGGGTATATAAATCCAAAAATTTAAATAAAAATAAAACTCAATTAATTTATTGGTGCAATTGCCGAATAGAGCTTGGTAAACTCAAGACTAAAAATCCAGATATTAATAAACAAAGAGACAAGCCTACAGATGTTGAAATAAATAACACTTTAATTAAAGTTGAATATTTACATTTAACTTTACATCTGAGACCAATACATAATCAAACTACAAAAGAGATACGTGAGTTTATTCAGCACAATATAAATTATTCAGTTCCTGAGCTCTGGCGGTTAATTCAAGAAAAAAACTTGATGGCTATAATAATTTAAGTATTCAACAAACATACTACTGGTGGTCTGTCGAATCCAGAAGGGTTTATCAACGTGATTTTGATCTTTTAAAATCTGCATACTTATTATTAAATGAGTTTAAGCAGGAAATAATTATTAATTTAACTACTCCAATTGGTGCTATTGGTTTCACAACTGCACTTTTTAATATACTTCTGCGTGACAAATTTGAAGCAATAGAAATTGACTCAACATACAATACTAATAGTATGGAATGGGAATTATACGCTTTAATGGGTGTAGTTGATGGAACAGGGTTTTCATTAAGTTACCTTTTAATTGAAGCAGGAAAAAATAGAGATATTACTGGAGTACTTGTTAATTGGATGAACAGTTTAAAAATTAGACAATTGAAAGTTAAAGTTTTAAAAGTAATGGTATAACGATTAATAAAGAGAAAAGTTAGACGTCATCATCACATGATAATCAGTGATGTCAGCTACATTTTTTTATGGGCGATACTAGGATGGCTCAATGATGGATATCTATTAATGCCGGCAAAACTTTTGTAATGCTAGTGCAATTATCATGTGACAATGCGCTATAATATTGTAAAGTTACATTACAGTTTCGTAAGTTACAATGTAATTTCATGTAATGAAAAATGTAATACAACCCTAGTTGTGATTCATTAGTCAACTTTGGCCTAAATTTTTGATCGTCGCTCTACAATTTAAATCACCACCCAAAAAAATTTCAGATCATGTGATTTAATAATCGCGATATATCAATTACGTCAGTCACACGATGCCTAGCTATGGCGAAAAAAAAGTTGCAGTCACGTGACTTAACCCAATCTGCGAAAATCAAAACAATCGAATAAGTGC